ACTACACAGAGACAATTTCAACACAAAACTCCTAACTCCAGAAATAACGAAATTTTCAATTTATGGTAAGGTAATGATGCTGTTCAATTTTTTTGCAGTGTTTATTTGAAGTGCACAAACTTTAACAAATACCACGTGATTGCTGCTCAATGCGCGACACTTTCAGTGTCCTCAAATTTAAGTTGAATGAATTAGCAAAGGCTTCTCACGCACGTGAAGTATTCTACTACAACTTAACGGTGAAGTTGTAATAGAACATCTACGACTAATTTGTGTAGTCGGAAGCCATACATTGTGTCAGCAAGGCCACCCGTGCACCCCATTCCCACGCAAGCGTGTGCGACGTGAGTGCCGAGACCAGCGTTTACAGCAGCAGTGTTTGGCGCATACTCAAGAGTGGAGGAGATCACTCATGCCATGTTCACCTGCATCAACAGCTGGAAGAGAAAGATATTCAAAGCCGTTTTGACTTTTGCAGCTGGATACTCATACGGAAAGAAGATAATGCCGGCTTCCTAAAGAACATAATCTGGTGCAATAAAACCTGATTCTCGCGCAATGCCCAAGTCAATGTTTGCAATGGCCATTACTGGAGTGCTACAAATCCTCACTGGCTGTTGCATTCACAACACCAGGTGCGGTGGTCTTTCATGTGTTCAATGCGGCATTTACTATGACCCAGTCTTTTTCGCTGGAACACTCGCCGCAGTGACCGCAAAACACTACATCAGCAAAATACTAAATGGCCAACTGAGTGACCTCACCAGCAACCTTCCTCTAGCACGGCTTGGGAATATCTGGTTCCAGCAAGAAGCTCTTTTGCACAGCTGCGAACGGACTCGAACGTGGCTTCATTGAGAATCTCCTGAGAAATGCATCGGCTGTCCTAGACTTGTAGAGCGGCCCGCAAGATCTACGGAGACTCCGCTGGATGTCTTTCTATAGGTATATATTAAAAACCACGTCTACACTGAAGCCATAACAACGCCCGCAAGACTAATGTCTAAAATAGCAGACCGTGCTCCACTCTATTACTCTATAAATGCTGCTAAATGCCACAGAAAATGTGCTGACTCGATGTAGGTTGTGTATAGGGGCTGATGGAGGGCTGTTAAAGTAGGCTATGTAACTGCCCATGACGTCACAATAAAAGCACTTGGGACTCTGCAATTACGCTGATCTCTTTCCAACACCTACCTTTCCTATTATTTAAGAATTAGCTACAATAGCACAGCACACTTCTTTATTCGTTGTTTACTTATACACACTGCGCTCTAACAGACGAGTATTAAACATGAATCTTTAAATGAAGACGAAGTATGGCAATAAGCTTTTGAACCCACAGCCAACCGTGCCGTATGGCTTGCAAGTATCAAGTAGAGCAATCACACGTAATCAATGCAAATATGATGAAAAACTTCTAGAATAATTCCCATTGAAGTCTTTATATTCTTCCTTTATCACAATGTCACCCTTCCCCCCGCCATTATGTTTGATCTTTGGCCCAAAAAGAAAAACCGCCAGGCCTGCGCGGAACGTGCAGTGGTTGCGGTGCAAGCTGAAAGAGCGGCCTTTCAGAGCCCTTTCTAAACTCTCTTTGGGTAACTGCTACAAGCACACTTGCTGGGTACCCACTACACCATAAATAATAATCTTAGTGCACCATGCCAACATTCACTATGCTATCCTTCGTTATTCTTCGAAGAAGCGTGGTATTCAGTACACACCTGCTAGGAATTTTGTGCAATTTTTATGCAGCGGCTAATGACAAAGAATTATGTCTTAAGTGGGTATGCGCCACACTTAATAGGTGATCAAGAACAAACTTTTGTAATGGGTTGGAGCATCAGATGACCCATCCGTTATGCAATTCGCATTGTGTGAGGCCTTGATGATTCGTTAATATTGTAAAACACCTTATTAGTCATATTAACATGATTCCTTTCCCCGAGAAACCTGGCTACAGAAAAGGGCCTATTTCAGACGAGTCTAATCAGCCCCAAAGGAAAGTGGTCTGGGCAGCAAGTTGGCTTCCAAAGAATAGCTGCCTACATACTGCCTTGCCGTTTCGTTCCAGGGCAATAAGTAGCATAGACAAAAAAAATAAGGCCACCTGCAGTCTTAGGAACAAAATACAGGCACCCATCTGCACAGTCAAGAACACTGGGATTTGAACATGTTCAAGCCAGTATTGTCAAGAGACCATGAAATAGCTGCGTTTAAAAAGTGTCGTTTACTTCTTATCCATTGGGGCTGTAGGGGGACATGACAGAGCATATCTTGTATGCATCAGTAATTACCAAACCTTTGCGAATTTTCCTCTAACATTTCATCCCTGAACACAGCCCTAGCCTACCAGATTAAAGTTGATGCAGTATGTGCTTTGTTAGATCCAATATTTTACAGTCACACTATCGAGTTGGCGCATATGCTTTTCCAGCCCTTTCTTACTACTACTTAATTTTAAGGCGTACATAGACGAATTTGCCTATTTACAGTGAGCGCAGATATGTGCATGTTTTATACTGTGTCTAGAAGGCAGGACAATCTGCAAGACATGTTTTTTCCGATCTGCTCTTTAATACCTTCATTTTCAAGGAAGAACAACACAAGTAGAACACTTCTGCAAACAGTAGACAAGTTAAGTGTAGGTCAGTACACTTTGCCTTCACAAGGCTTTAAGTTGGAAGGCAAAAGGTGTCGGTCAGCAAAAGGTTTAGCAGTGCAAAAACATTCTGTGTGCTCAGCAAAGTTCTTCTAAACATACACTTGCCTCATCTTTTTTTTTTTTTTTAGAGTGCAAATACTACAGGCTGATTAATGACGTTCATGAGCACTTTTGTGCATGGGTTGAGTAGAACATTTGTTACATCACTGTGGTAAAGCGGGGTTTGGTAACTGGATGCCCAATAGGGGAATAAAAAAAAACATATATTTCAGGAGATTCAGTGGTAGCATGCTTTAAACAACATTTTCCTGCAAGAAGGAACTGTTGTGAAAAACTTGAGAAATGGAATGCGTTGTTTAAACTTCTGCCGACACTGTGGACCCCTGGAAAGACTGCTTGCCTCAGAAGCCAGTACTCCATGACCAAGAACAGAGCAGACCACAAGAACACTGAAAAAAGAGTTATACTGCCTATGTCTCTTTTTAGCGTTTCAAGTGATTAGTGCTACTACTACTGCACTCATCACTTGCCATGGACTCGCTATCGAACTCTCTCAAATTAGAACTGGTGAGTATTCTGTGATAGTATAATGCTTTGGAAGTCTCAACACTTCCGGCTGCTTCTACTATGTGGCCAGTTCTTTGCAACCACTTGCCATGGGCATGCTAGAAATGCACTGCATAACCAGTGCTTTTGGAGGCAACAGTTAAGCTTGCAGTCGAAGCAGGCCACTGCATTAGTGGTGGGTGTTACAATGACATTTGTCTTGTAAGTAGCCAGTGCTGTCCGCTCATAAGGCAGAAGCAGAAACGTCTGTACAAGAAAGATTACGGAGGGAGTGCGAAGAACTGGGAACATTATCGTAACAGATGATCAAGCTGAGCTCGGTGGCACTCGCAAACGAAGCGGAAGAAAACCCTGCATAATATTGGTAATATTGTAATTTTTTTTTGTGCGTTCGGGATCTTGGTCCGCAGTACTGCGGACGGTGAAGCACACCGAAACGAGCCAGCTCAACGGCAGATGCTTTCTCAAACTTCCACTGTACAAGACCCCCCCCCCCCCCCCCCCCCCCCCCCCCAAAAAAAAAAAAAAGTGCGACTATGCTGGCTGCGCCGAGTACACAGTAGATGTTTCTTGTGTCCAAATAACCAGCAAGTGGCACTGCGCTTTTATTACTGCAACGCGCCCTTGAGCTTGTCCATGATGCGGGCCCATTTGGTGGTCGGTATGACGAGGACCTTGCGAATCTGTTTCATCTCTTCGTCTTCCTCCTTCCAGTCGCCGCCGACTGCGGTACCCGTCTCCGGCGTCACGTTGTACTCAAACTGAAGCTCGGCTTCTTCTTCGAACAGCTCCTCTTCGGCGTTGGCAAACACGGCGCCGCCCTCGTCGTTCTCCGACGTCTTGTACTGCTTGCATATGACCAAGAGGTGCGTGAAGTCGTACTTCTTTCCAGCCGCCTTGGCCGCCTCGACGTCTCGCGCGAGGGCGTCGTACAGAGGCAGAGCGATCCGCGGCGGTATGTTCACGAAGCGCTCGCTGATCACCAGGCCGATCTGGTAGCCGTCCTCTGTGAAGTACTCGTCAAACTTGGCCGCCAGTCCGCTGGCCGAAACGCGGCACTGATCGCGAAGGAGAGTCACGATCTGCTGAACGCACTCCCGTTGCCGGCTCTCCGTCACGTTGACTACGCTCATGACGCCGAAGACGCCGTCTTCGTCCTCCTGCATGGCTTCGTCGTCGTCGTCGTCCACGTCGTCATCGCACTGCTTAATGACGCTGGCGACGAAGTTTCGCTCCAGAATGAGGTTGGTCAGATCCGAGAGGTTGACACGTGCCTTGAGGAACAGTTGCTGCAGCAGCCTCTTGATGCCGTGGAAGTCCGAGTCGTCCGGTGTGCGAGCCTCGAAGTCGACGTTTACCTCGGTGTCGACCAGCTCGTCTTGCTCGGAGTCGGTATCCTCATTTTGCGACTCGTTCGAGCCGTCGCTTTCCTCGTCTTCGCCGAGTCTTTTCTGCCGCTTTGACATCGCCATGTTCCTTCCACACATTGGCAAATTGAATGGTTACAGTGTTTCCGACTTGGGTGTCAACTTTAGAAACATTGCGCTAGAACCAGCCAATTTAGTCGTACGTCGTGCAGTCGTGAAAAATACTTTGAACAATAACAAACACCTTTTTATTAAATAAAATTACGCTTACTGACGTTCACAAAATTTATTAGTGCTAAAACATCTATAATGTACTTATAAAATTGTGAAATCAGAAATTCGTAATTAATAATTAGGATGCTGTTCACGTTGCTCGCCAGGTGACGCGAAGTGCCATTGTAAGCAAAATGGCGGAAAGCAATGACTTGTCAGCATCCCAAACAGAGAAACTGTTACAGTTCCAGGTAAGAGCAATTGTAAAATAACTTGTACTGCACACCAGATGGGATCATTCACACCAGAGGCGATACGCAAAGCGTTTAGCATGAGGTGTCATCAGTTGCTGTCGATAAACAACATTACGTTTCCAGCTCTTGCGCTGAAGCGTTCGCTTTCCGATCTAAACTGCGCTCTCTTTTTGATAACCGCTCTCGAGCACACCCGTTCCTGTCATTCACCAATATTATCGTATTCTGAGTGAACGGGAGAACCGCTAGTTTGGTGCGCTGTAGCGACAGCCGGCCTATATAGAACACGCTAACATGACTGCAAACTGCCGTGTGCTCGGCTGTTTTGATGCAATTATAGCGTCCCGCTGCCGCGTCCTTCAATGCTTCTCATTTTAACAGGATCTCACGACGATAGAGGACCTCGAAAGGTGTCGAGAAATACTGAATCGGCACAACTGGGACCTCGAGGTGAGAATTCGTCTCATTGAGTGCGTGTGCTCGGGAATTGACAGACCCTCTGACGCGTGGTAACACTTGTGTTCACCTTTGTTCATCTGCCACAGGTCGCCGTTCAAGACACGTTAAACATCCAGGAGGGTACGCCTTCCGTCTATTCGCCGCCTTCTAGTCGACAGCCATCGGTTGTGGTCGATCATGCGGACCAAAGGTAAGTGATCGTGTCTACCTAAGTTTGCTAATGATCATCGCTGGTTAGGGCCAACACTTGCTAGAACAACAGTACCGCGTGACTGCACGGAGCTTCTGTTGATTGTCCCAAAATCAGCGCTACAGTCGCTGTAGTGGCGCGGTAGTTTGAGCAACGCAACAGGATGTTGACGAGTGCCTGTCAAAGCGCGCGCAATATTGCGTGTACTGCTAATCCGCCGGGTTGCGTTATCGCAGACCAGTAAACAAATCACTGTTTCGGTTGTGCCAGCTTGCAGATTATGGGCCTGAATAATATTTTCTTATAAGCATTTCTTCCAGGATCGTGTTTAACATATTTTTGCACATAGGTGGCATACCGATTCAAGCATGATAAAAGTAATAAAGGAAACTGACCACGAAAAACAAAATATAAGCAGAAAGGTGACATCAGAACACACATCCTCGAACAGCTCTCCTGTTAGGGGAGCTGGAATGTCCTTTTATTAGTCTTTCGCGTTTGGTGTACCTCTCTCACTTTATCGTGATGCCTGTCACCTTAACAGGTTTCCGTGAGAACCTTGACTTCATCATTCAAGAATATTCGATAAATGGATATCTCAAACTCACGCTGATGTATTAAACAATGTAGCCTATATAACAGTGCTTCAAAAATGAATATAAAGACATACTTGTAGCAAAGTCAGCACTTGTGAATAAACAGATTTTTGTGAATTTTTTTTATTTTCTTGCCACCACTATGCCTTATGTAGTAATTTTCAGTAGAAATGTCTATTCTCCTGCTTTCCTTCACAATTTAAGTTCATGAGGTCACCAAAATGAGTTACATTGCCGGAGATATGCATGTACAATGTGCTTGTTGATCTTCACATTGACGTTGCCATCATATCCAAGGCACGAAATCTTAATGCCTCCTTGTTTTTTACTGTTGCTCTGAGTAATTAATAACAAACTTGTCATGGCTGGAAACCTCGTTTGCTCCACTGCACAACAGCTAATCATTCCGAGCCACTTTTATAGTGCCCACTCACAGTTTAGGTTTCAGAGAGCAGCAGTCGAGAGATCTATGTTCGAAAAGACAGGCATGTCTGCTGACCGCACAAAACTGTTACATGTCCTGTACACATGGCAACATATGCATGTGAGTGTCGTGTAAAAGGTTAATCTGCTATGCTGGTCTAGTGGCTAAGGTACTCGGCCGCTGACCCGCAGGTCACGGAAACGAATCCTGGCTGCGGCGGCTGCATTTTCAATTGAGGCAAAAAGGCTGTAGGCCCGTGTGCTCAGATTTTGGTGCACGTTGAAGAACCCCAGGTGGTCGAAATTTCCGGAGCCCACCACTACGGCGACTCTCATAATCATATGGTGGTTTTAGAACGTTAAACCCCACATATTAATCAATCTATCTGCTATGCTTGCATATGCTTTTCAATGTCATAATCTTCATCGTGCACACACCTGACATAGGTAGTTGTTTGTTTACATTCTCACCATGTCGATGTTGCAATGTCGTTTTTTTTTGTGTTCAGTTGCATGGCACACACATTAAAATCTATGTTTAATGCGTCGTGGGCCTTATTTGCCAATAATATCTTTTATATGGCGTGTGTCTCTTCGCCTGAATTCGTTTGCTAGTTATCTTACCTCTGCACTTTTGTGTCATATTGCATCATCATCATATAGCGTAGACAAATCGCTCAAAATTTCACAGATTTTGCTAAGCAAGTCTGGCCAGCATATAAAACATTCTTATTCCAGTTCGTTATGACTAGGAAGCATTCTGTCATTGAAATAATAAAGGAGAAGGGATATTAAGCTTGCATTCGTAATGTTGCATACAGTGTCAGTGTGTGCTCGCAACCTTCGAGCTGCCAGTGAAATGATAATTCCAGCTTTGGGTCAGCTGCTGTATCATTGTTAGTGATGAAGCATTGTAAGAAAGTTGCTTCCTAATTTTCGAGAAGGTTGAATTATTTAATTTTTAATTTCAACACATCCACAAACAGGCCAGCTTTTTATAGGAGTCATTTCATGACCTCTTTCTGCCAGGTAGTGCAGCTAATGCGCCGCCCATAGCCATGGCCTGTCAGCGTTCTGGCATATGACAGTGATATTTGGCAGTGCTGCACCTCACTAACCCGTTTTGTTAGAACAATATCAACATAAGTATGCCGCCAAGAAGGTTGGTTGTGGTACGATGATGATGTTAGCATGCAAGACAACAAATACCGCGACTGCCACGCTAGCGCCCCTTGTAGATGGTGCACGTGAATATCTTATATAGGCTAAAGCTACAGGAGAGACCTCACTAACCCGTTTTCTTAGAAGAATATCAACATAAGCATGCTGCCGAGAAAGTTGGTACTGGTACGACAATGATAGCATGCGAGACAACAAGTACGGCGACTTCCACACTAGCGCCCCTTGTAAGTAGTGCACGTGAATATCTTATATAGGCTAAAGCTATAGGAGAGACTACATCTTGTAACTAATGCCCAGAAAATGGTTTGGTAATCAAAATTTCAATCGCAGCATTTGCTCAGAAGACACCGTCGTGGGGTTGACACATTAAACTGGGTAGAAGTGGCTACAAGAAGATTATGATATTCACACAAGGCACAAAGACTATGGTAGAGTGATGAGCAACATGTGGGAATAGAGAACAAAGGTACAAAATGTGCACCGCATGTAAGGGCAGTGACAACCTCTTCCACTCAATTGTTGCATCTTTCAGAAGTGACGTGTGGAGGAATATACTAACCACCAGACAGAGGGACAAACACCTTGGACAAACTATGCCATCCACTTATTGTGATTCAAAACATTAATAGGCTTCCAATGATGTTTGGGTGGGGGCATTTCAAATAGGAAAATTTTAATTACTCATTAATCAAATGACTAGTTGGCATGTATACAGTTTCAATACAGTTCCACAAGTCAAGGTCATTGGAAGTTTTTTTATTTTAAATTTATAATGCAGTGTAACAATATTTTTTCAACTAACTATTATCACAGTATGGCACATAGCTAAAGAGATGTTCATGCTATTTTGTCTAGTATAGACAGAAGGTCGGATCGTGCAGCTTTGTTAAAATGCATAGAGTGTAGCAGACAAGTTGTCTAATTGTCATAAGAATACGTAAACTAGGAAGTGGCAGTACTTTGCGTACGCTTTATTCGGGCATAGAGGAGGAAACGACGTTTATTGGTAATGGAAAGTGATTTGCCAGCTTGGTACCGAGTCATACTAAGTTTCCATTGCTTCATTCGACGATATTGTATCAAATGCTGACCTTGCTTAATGCTGATGTTTGCATTGTTTGTTTCAGTCTGTGTAGCTATTTTCATTTGCAATCTTTTTGGGGGAGTGTTAGTAGCAAAAAACATTGGATTGATTTGCAAGTTAGAACCAATGGCAGTAACTAATGATGTGTCTGTAATCCGTAGGTTATTCTACTCAGTCCAGAGCTGGCAGCCCAGTGGTCTTCTGGGATGGAGCAAATTCATCATTACCTTCCCCTTCTCCTTCTTCTACAACACCTTGTTAAACATCATCCGGTACGCATGTAAGTGGAGTTGCTCGACCTTAGGTGCGGGTCCTTGCCTTCATTGTGCGATGGGAATATTGATGTTTGCAGTGAACTTGCGAAGGGAATTTTATTGTTCAATGGCTTTTGTGGAGCTTTTTCACCCCCGTTGAAAGCACACGTATGTCACCTCTTCATTGCTGTTGAACTTGAAGGCATTAAAACTGTTTTGTGCTTGCATTTGGAGGGCAGTTTAAAAGGCACTTCAAGTAAGTTAAGTAAAAAGATGATAGTGCTTATAATGTCAAAATATCATATGTCCGTCATGCCAACAGTTGTAACTGCCAGTCTATCAATTCGAGAAAAAAATCTCTTGGCAGCATTATGGCTTTTACGTAGATTTTACATAGGCTGTGCAATGAACTAGGCCTTTATGCTATCAATATTGCATATATTATTGCGTGAAAACTAAAATTTGTATAACTTCAATGGCTGTACTTAAAATAAAATTCACTGACAACAAAACTTATCTTTTTGAATTGTCCTAATTAATCTAGCATGGCACAGGTTAATGTCTAAGCAAGAACCCTGGAAAGCTTTATTGAAAATACTGATTTCTTTAAAAGTCATGAACTTTTGTGAAAAAAAAATGTGTGAAAGTTTGGTTTTATGGAAAACAAACAAATTTTCCAGACATATAATTTTTTGTTTGAGGGTAATCACAAAAACGATTATAACTGAACCAAATAGAGATGTAAATGGAGATGTCTACATTTTTCAAATATTGCAAACAAAAATTCACCTTTTTTGGTGTCATTTTAAAGTGTGGCAAAACACCTTAAGCTGTTCATGTCATTATTCTTTATTCCCTTGTAGCAAAATTACCTAATTTTGCAAGGTTGTAGCCGTGTTAAAAGGCATGATTTAATAGATATACAGGTTATGTTAAATTAGGATTATATTGCCTCTGCATCTCTGCCTCTAGTTAATGTGAGTGTCATATGCTGAAATATAATTATTGGTTGCTGCCTAGCTAATAATTGATTATTGGATTGCCTCAGGAGTGTGTGAAAATGCCAGTTGACAGAGAGCTCGTAGTTAAAATAGAAGGATTTAATTTTTGCTACAATGCTGCGTATGCGGGCATTATTACTGTGCTGTTTTGTTGTACACACTGAATCTCTAGCTAACGTTAACTCTGCTATGGAATAGCCAGCATTTGCACAATCTTGGATGTTGTAGAAAAGGCAGTACTGCTATTCACTAGCTTTTATTATCCGAAGCTGCTGTTCCTATGAAGGTGAATGCTTGTTAGTAATAGGCGTCGGAGTTTGTTGCTTTCTTTGGGTTTGAAGTTCATCTGTTAGCATCTGCTGTTCATGCTTTCTTTGTGTACAGTGCACTTAATTAGAAGTGTGCATGCTTTACTATAAGGCTTATACCAACCTAAATCTCTTTTAAATTGTGACTGTAAGATTTCCTTTATTCTGCAGGGAGGATAATCTGGCCAGGGCCAAGAAGATGTAAGTATTGCAGCTGACACCAGGTCACTTTTGTTTTTTGTTTTTGTTTGCTTGCTTTTTTGCTTTTCTAGTTGATTGTCATAGTCTCTGGGCTTGAATGATCATAAAGTATCAATGTTTGCGAGTCCTGTTTTGTGGCAACATGGAACCTCGAAAAATGCTATTCAGTAATTGTGCATTCCAATTGCTGTTTGAATACTGAGCTTTGCTATTTTTTTTTCAGCTATACATTATTTTAACTTTAGTGGGTAACCATATTTCCTGGAGTTAATATTATTAAGTTATTACTCTCATGCTAGATGTGCTGACCATGTCTTAGTGCATATGTGGCTCTGACTTTGTGAATTTTATCATGAACTTGATCATGAGATAAGTACATGTGATTAGATTGCATTTGAAACTTGGACAGCTGTTCATTCATTATAATATTATTGCTAGCACAAACAGTTGCTCTGGGACCTGCAGTGGTGCTTGTGTAAATACTGAACCAGTCACGGCCGTGAGATAAGATATGACTGTGTTTGTGTGTGCTCTTTAAGCATTTGTTCATCGTGATAACTGTCGTCTTCCCTTTACTCAGTAGACCCCCCTAGTAAATGGAACTCTGTTAAACTGCTCTGCTGCTTAAGGGGGCAGACTGGTCTTTGGGACCAAAAAGTGACAAAAACTTCACGTTTTAAAATTGACATATTTGGTTTCTGCAAGTATTTTTCTATCTCTCTGCATATTTCCACACACCAGAAAGTGGTAATTTTTTTGTAATGTAATTCTAACTGTCCACATTCTTAGTGTTAACATGCGGTACCTGCAAAAAAATGGGAAACCAACTTCGAGGCTTTTTTATAATTTGTCGGCACTTGTGTTAGAAGCTCTGCTACGAATTCATGAGCACCTTTACGAGGATTGCAAAACCTGCGCACCATGATTGTCGCTTTTTGAAGAAGCTATCTCTTTTCAGTTTTTTCCATTTTTCTCATGAAGTAAACTTACGACTGTTCAATTTTGAGGCCTCAATATCTCTGCAGCTAAGGTAGTTACAAAAGTAATTCTTTTTGAAATGGAAACCTGTATGTGTATAGAATGCAAGTATGGGAGCAGAAATTAGGGTGCAAGCCTTTTTAATTAATTACTCATCAAAAGTATAACACCATTTCAACTGCTTTTGGAAATTAATAGTTTATTTTGCTGTAAAATAACCAAGAAAGGCCTAAAAAAACAAACTCTTGCATACTTACAATCTACAGTTATTAGTAGGCTTGTGCGAATAGTGAAATTTAGGTTCGAAGCGAATAGCGATTTTGATCGAATAATTTCGAATCGAATTCGAATGGTGTGTATGACATATAAAAAAAAGGGAATATTTATTATGACCCAACTAACCTGCACAATATTTCTTTTGAATTGAAGTAGGGGCTCTATGCAAATGCCTTTTTTTTTTCATTTAAAGAAGTCGAAAAAACCTTGAGTAGTAACTTCGGTAGGATGCGAGTGATAACCTGTAGGATACTTAATATATTAAAATTTATTTTACTTGGATCATATAAGCTGTCATAACAAGCTTAACAAAATAAAGAATTGATTTGAGGGTAACATGTTCCTTTAAAGGGGTCCTGCAACACTTTTTTTTCAAGTAGCCATGGAGCCAGTAAACATGCTTGTTGCCTCACAAATTTACCACCGCAAAGTTTCTAAAATCCGTCCTGTACGAGCGGAGTTCCAAGAATTTGTCGCATGCTGCAATTGCATTCTCTCTTCTCGTCCCGATGAAATAGCTGAAACCTAAGCAGGGAGGAATGGCACGATGAAAGAAAATACTCCACACGCACCTCAAAACCTTGATTACCTCTTTTTTTTCTTCAAATACGTGGCTTTTCAGTGCAATCGTGCACATACTCGTGGACAAGCGGCGGCCTAGGTAACGACAAGCGCGCCATGCTCCAATCAGCCAATTCCTGTGACCAGAACCGTATATTCCTTCTTGGCCGTGACAAGGGTTTTTTGAACTTGTAGTGTCATTTGCTGAGGAAAGAAAGGAATTTTTAGCTTTGAAAATATATTGTAAATTACAGCCCATTGCTGAGGAAAGAAAGGAATCTTTAGCTTTGAAAATATATTGTAAATTATAGCCCATGTGCTGCGCTAAAATATTTGCCTCGCGTGTTTTCGGTAGCCTCAACTACCGATCGGCAGCGTTTTCTGACCATGTTCATTAAGAGTGACAGGTCCCCTTTAAATTTGAAGGGGGCTTCACGGCAAAACGAATTTTTTTTCAGGTAGGTGTTTTCACTGGTTAGCACCGCTACGTTGCAGTGAAACCACCTTTACAAGTAGACTACTCTACACTTGTTCGTTCATTGCGAATACTTCGAAAATATTCGATCATTTACATTCAAATCGAAGGGAATTCGAATACTCGCCTATTCGTTCAAATATTCGAAGCATTCGAATATTCGCACAAGCCTAGTTATTAGTCTATGTTGGCGTATCTTTACTATCACATTTAATTAAGCACTTTTTTCTATGGCAGCCTCAAACAATAGGGTGTGAACTTAAGTTATCTCAGGAACAAGATGAGTTACAAGAAAACTAATTAAATATTTGAAATCAGCAGGAAAAACTGTATAATCCTGTGCAGTTTTATCAAGATCACTGATGAAATAAATAAAAAATGTCTAAGACCAGTCTGCTCCCTTAAATGAAACTGCCTCACCACAGCCCTGTTCATCTCACAGTAAACGGAACTTCTGTATAATGGAGCATATTTTTCTGGTTTCTTCAGATTCAGTTTGTTAAGAGTCTACCGTAGTTGCCGTAGTTTTTGCAGCAGTGTTTTGTTGGGGGGCACTTTAAGTTCTTAGGCTTAAACTTCTTCTGTGGTCACTAGAATTTGTCTTACTGTTTGAAGATGCTACAAATCGAGGTGAATTTCGCCTGAATTAGTTTAACTGTGGCTTAAGGGCAACACATTTTAGTTTCCTGCATATTTGAACAGCATAAATTGTATTTGACCGCAAGCTCCCGCCACCTGCTACAGTGGCTCAACTCACTGGGCATATATGGCATCCTGAAGCTGTAGCTCGGTTCCCATTTACATTGTACTTGCCTCAATAGGATCCGAAGTCAAAGGTAGATAATGTTTCGGAGATTTTTTTTTTTTTCAGCTTTCAATTCATCCCCCATGACTGTAAACATTGTCCTTAAATTTCTGCTACTGTTGTGTTAACATTCTCCACACAGCTTTTGCACTGTGTGGGAACCATGACATGGCAGCGCTTCGTGCTCCCGACATGTTGGAACTTTCTTTTTACTGCTCATGATTTTAACATGCCGGTGTCCCAAGATCTAGTCGCTTCTTCAAGAACTCAAAGTTGACAAAGTTTCTTTCAGGTTCTGCTGTAGTTCCGCACTTTGTTGTGCGATTCAACTGGGCTAACCACCCGACCAGTCATTTAATGATAGAGCTTACTTTTAAAATCACTTAGTCCGCAATTCTGAATGAAGAGCAAGATGATTTATAGCCTCCCATATCACTCAGTTACCACGTCGTTGCCATTACAGTGGGTACAGATCCCCTGGCTGATGTGCTGAACTTTATTCAAGCCTTTGAGACCAGATATGGGAGCAATCACCCAGTCTTTTATCAGGGCACGTACAGCCAGGTGAGTACGGGACTACTAGTACATACCATGTTAATTTTTCTTTTTCAACTGTATGCATAGGAGAAGCAATTAATGTTGAGAAAAGGCAAATGGGGATATCTAGGTTGGCAGACCCATGTTAGCAGGCCCATGTAGGTGGGCCCATGTTGGCGAGTCTGTGTATGTTCATCATATGCCTATGTTGGTGAGTGAGGCTTTCGCTGTAAGGAAGCATTTTAACAGTGAATGATTGGGGGGGGGCCTATGTTCAACGTTCGTTTGACTTGTGACATACTGCAGTTTGGCTGAACACCAGGCAGGTGTAGAAGAAACAAAAGTGTGTGAAGATGTCGGTAGCAACCAACAAAAAAAAAAAACAGATCCAGGGACCTTGGTTTACGTGTTGCAGCATCTTTAAGAAGTAATGATTCAGCATTAGTAAGGGCTCATTTGCTACAAATTCTATAATGAATATGGGCAAGTCTGCTAAAGCTTTTGGAGGCGCGTGGCAATTGAGACTATATTTGTTGTTTATGGGGATGAAGTGATGAGATTAGGCATGTGCCATTTATGGATATGATTATTCATGTGAATAACATCGTTTATTAGTGTGAAAGCTTTAGATCATCAAATGCAAAATATGATTGTCGGTGTCCCGCAACGGCGGTATCAGGGACGAACTGCACAGAATATACTGCTTTAGGCAGTGCGCTCGCTTTTCTGTTTGATAAGTACTTCGTCAAGTAGAAGTTCACGCGGCTTATTTTTAATGGCGCACAGTATGGCTGATGAGATCGGTCCGAGTGTCCCAACATGGGCTCTGTCCGTGTCAACTCCGGGTTGACCTTTTGGGTCCAATGAAGTTCACACCATACCATGCAGCCCAGATTGCCAGAGGCCAAAATGGAGCCACCTGCGAGACGCTAACAGCAAGACTGGCAAGGGTCAGGCGTCGATTGAAGCTCCTAATAGAATGTGTTTGAGGTTCGTGATACATTGGTTGAAAGTTTTCATGCGAATTTTTTTTTTTTTCGCTTCACTTGCTCAGCAACCAGAATGTGACAGCCATATGCATGCATGTACATACACATGCACACACACATGCACTCACATACACGCACGCAGACTGTCTTCTTCCTAATAGCTAATGTCCTTTGCCCTCTAGCTACCATAGTTATTGCAAACACCTCAAATTTTTGTAAGGACAACGCTGCTTTTTTTGTTCTAAATCAAAGGTGCTGCTGCCGACACCAGAATTTCAGCGAATTAAGCGCTTTAGTGTTGTCGTGCCAAAGTGCGTCCGCTCTCCAGGACAACATTTGCTGCTCTCGGAGCACTTATAAAACAAAAATATTGTGGGGAAATAAGCTGCATATTCAATGAGGAAATCAATTTCATTACAGCTGAATCACAGTATTAATTTATTGGCATCCAGGTATATTATGTACATGGAGTGTAATAAACAAGCGAGGCTCCGCAGCAACAAACTTGTAAGTCGACGTCCGATTCCCCGGACACCCGAAATTCTGGACAGGCCCGATTTCTCGGACTCATCTGTATCTGTATAAAGTCAATGTATTAAAAAGGCCGAAATTCCGGACGCTTATAGCCTTCGGCATCCGATTTCCCAGACTTTTTACTGTTAACCGCAAACCCAAAGTCACCACTGATGCCGCCATTTTGGTTGTTTTTATATCCTCGTATTCGCCATACTCGCATCGCAGGTGTAGAGGTAATATACAGACTATGATTGCAGGTATGGCCAGCAGCACAGCCGCCAATTGCTGCACCGTGTCGCGGCTGCTGTAACCTCGAAACCGCACATGTCAATTCGTTGCCAGTTGTAGCTTAGTGGCTCAGCCAAGCCAAACTCATTGTGTTCGTTCATGTGTTGTTTTGTCAGCTCTGTGGTCATGTCTGCGGTTGGTCGTTTGCTGCTGCGCACGATCTTCAGTGATCACGTTTCCCGACCTTGAGTATCCACCAAGTTCCTCGCTGTTTCGTGCTGCGCTTTTCGTTGAGCGGATTCGCTGTTTATAGTGATGGCACCGACTGCTCCTTCGTCCGGGCCTTCGAAGCGCGCAAAGCCCTTTCGTAGGCTCACAATGGAGAAGAAAGTCGCCACCATTAAACAGGTCCAACGTGGTCGGTCGCAGGCAGAAGTGGGGAGGGAGTTTGAAATAACGAAGCAAACTGTTTCAGACTTCATCAAAAACAAGGCGAAGATCTTGGAAGTGACTGCCAAATCAGCCAAAGCTGGAAAGAAGAATGCGAGCCAGGTTGTTACCGAAAGCTCGAAGAAGCGCTCGTCGTGTGGCTCAATGCCATGATCGCTAAGAAAAACTCGGTGTCAGGCGACATCCTGAAGCATAAGGCGGAGATTTTCGCGCTTCAGATGGGCGTGAAAGACTTCAAGTTCAGTGATAGATGGCTTCACAATTTCAAGAGCCACAATGCCTTGAAGTTCAAGAAGAGGTGCGGGGAAAGCGACACCGTCGAGGATTCCGTTGTCACCGAATATCGGGATCAAAAGCTGTAGTCCTTGCTTGAACAGTTTCCACCTAATTATATTGCCGCATGCATAGCTGCATTTAGCGGCGAGATAGCAATGACAACGAAGAACGCGGTTTTGCTCGAGAGGCGCAGCGCAGGGGAGTGAAGAAGACGACAATCTTAGTGGCCTTCTCTGAGAGCGTCTCTATAAGTTCCACTGTCTGTGTTTTTAAATAAACCCCCTGTAATTTATAACCCGCGACACTGTTGGAGGAGCTGGGTACTACCACCTCATGATCAGCACCCCTGTGAGAAGCCCCGAGTCCAGCCCTACGAGACAGCCACGCGTGGAGACGCCTGTGCACCGCTCAAGCCGTCGCCTTCAAGGTCTTGAACCAGAATTTGGCTTTTTAAAGGGAGCAACACTTCCGACAACCACCTCTACTCAAGAAATGGCAAGGAGTCCTGCACAGGTGACAGTCCAGAATATGCGCATTCCTGAACCATTTCATGGCCGGCCGAACGAAGATGCGCAAGACTGGCTTGAGCAGTTTGAACGGGTAGCTAAATCGAACTACTGGAGCCTCGAGGGAAAGCTCTTCCACGTATACTTCACCCTTGAAGACGGCGCGAAGACGTGGTTTATAAACCGGGAGGCAACATTGACGACATGGGAGGAGTTTTGTCGTCGGTTTCTTGACACCTTCGGTAATGCGGACCGACGGGAAAACGCACAACGCCTTCTTGAAGGGCGCGCCCAACAGCTGCATGAAAGCGTCGCCATGTTTGCTGAGGATATGGTGCGTCTGTGCCACCGCGCGGACCCCAACATGCCCGAGGCTCGAAAGCTAAGCCATCTCATGAGGGGCGTCAAAGAGCAGCTATTTGTTGGTCTTGTGCGCAATCCGCCGACAACAGTGGACGAGTTCACCAGGGAGGCCACCGCAATAGAGCGTGCGCTGCAGCAACGGTACCCGACAGTCTGATCGCCCGGCCACCGGCGCAGCTGCAGGCGCCGCCGCACTTACCGCAAACGACGAGTTTTCTCTACGCCACCTGATGCCACGTGAGGAGATCGCGCCACGTGAGGAGATCGCGAAGGAGAACGCAAAATACACATTGTAGTCACAGGCGCCCCCGCAGCAGGAGTTCATGATAGCCTCCGTCGCTGAAGTCATTCGCCATGAACTTCGACAAGCGTTTGCCTCTCATCAGCAGTATTGCGCTCCACCGCACCGTCCAAACTCGTGTACCTATGCAGACGCTGTGCGTCGTCCATTGGCTCCAGAAGTATCATACGAGCCGAACGAATACAGCTATGCAGACGCTGTTCGTCGACCCATGCCCATGCCAGCGCCGCAGTACCTCGAACCGTATCCTGTGGCAGCCTGGGCTCGCCGACCACTCTGCTACAACTGTGGAGAGCCAGGGCACATTTACCGTTTTTGCCCACATCGCCGAGCTGAATACCGTGGTAGTGCACCTACAGCTACGCGCCGACAGTTCGACGAAAGCCATGCCCCCATCGACGACGACCAGGCTGGCAGGCGGGAAGGCTCTTCTACCTTCCGGACGCGCTCACCATCCCCGGCTCGCTTTGGTTCACCAGGCCGCCGTAGTTTTGCTGACGCCGTCAGAGGTCGGTCTCCCAGCCCACGGGGGGGGGGGGGGGGGAGGGGACTGAAAGCAGCGACCTCTGGGGGGAAGGTTGCAAGCCGTCGAATTGCCGAAAATCCCCCACTGCTGCCGAAACACGTGAGAGATGATGATGAAGACTCCGCCGAGAAAACTGTGACTGCCGACCTCGCTGTGACGATTGACGGCGTTGAAGTGACGGCCTTAGTCGATACGGGTGCAGACTTCTCCATAATGAGTGAACGATTGGCAGACGAACTTGAGAAAGTCAGGACGGAATGGACGGGCCCTTATATCCGAAATGCTGCAGGCCAAATAATGACTCCCACCAGAAAATGTACAGCAAGACTCACGATTGAGAATGTGGCTTTTGTAGCCACATTTCTGATCCTACCGGAGTGCTGCAAACCTATGATACTGGGAATGGACTTCTTAAGAGAGTACGGTGCTGTGGTCAACATACGCGATGGTGTGATCACATTCGCCGCTGACAAGTCTGTGACCCAAGATCCAGACCAAGAACCCAGGGTGTTACGTGTGGTTGATGACGACGCCTGCGTGCCACCACTGTCATGTAGTCTTGTTTCCATGTGTTGTGACGTGGACTGTAATGAAGACGCCAGAGCCGAACGCATCACTGCCCTTCTTTTTCGCCAAGGCATCGCCATCGCTCGCGGCATCGTCAGCTTAGTGGATGGGCGCGCAGAAGTGCTTCTGACCAACTTCACGAATGAGCGCCGGCACATCGGTAAAGGCACGGCTGTGGCGTACCTCGAAGAGCTCGACTACTCTCACGACTGTCTTCTAATGCAAGAGGAAGCCACAGCTCAATCACCTCCACATACACCACCAGTTGATATCGGTCCGAGGCTAACACCGACTGAAAGATGTCGTCTTATGGAGCTGCTCGACCAGTTCAAGGACTGCTTCTCATCGACATCACGAGTGGGTCGAACGCCTCTGACTAAGCATCGCATCATTACGGAAGACACAGCAAGACCGATCCGACAGAACCCATATCGCGTCGCTCAGAAAGAACGTGAGGTAATCCAGCAGCAAGTCAAGAAGATGCTAGAGGATGATGTAATCCAACCATCAAAGAGTCCTTGGGCATCGCCAGTGGTACTCGTGAAAAAGAAAGATGGCAGCTTGCGTTTCTGCATCGATTATCGTAAGCTGAACCATGTTCCAAAAAAAGACGTTTATCCATTACCACGGATCGATGACTCTTTAGACAGGCTACGGCATGCGCGCTACTTCTCGTCAATGGACCTTAAAAGTGGATACTGGCAAATAGAAGTAGATGAGCGCGACCGAGAAAAGACCGCCTTCGTGACGCCAGGCGGGCTTTATGAATTCAAAGTCCTCCCTTTCGGTCTATGCTCAGCCCCAGCCACGTTTCAGAGACTAATGGATACCATTCTGTCCGGCCTGAAATGGAAAACATGCCTTGTGTACCTCTACGACGTGATAGTTTTTTCGGCCACGTTTGAAGAGCATCTGAGGCGGCTACTGTCAGTCCTTCAAGCCATACGGTCCGCTGGACTCACACTCAAACCGGAAAAATGCCACTTCGGCTTCGAAGAACTCCAGTTCCTGGGACACGTGATCAGTCGCGAAGGTGTGAAGCCTGACCCAGATAAAACGGCAGCCGTCGCAAAGTTTGCAAGGCCTGTTGATAAGAAAGCGGTCAGGCGTTTTCTGGGTCTCTGCGCCTACTACCGGCGATTTATAGCAGGCTTTGCACACATCGCCTCTCCACTCACCTGCCTTACAAGGGAAGACATTGCATTTGTATGGGGTGAAGAGCAAGGAGCTTCGTTCAACGAGCTGCGACAGCGTCTACAAACTCCACCTGTCCTCGCTCACTTCGACTAGAATGCATCAACAGCCATCCATACAGACGCAAGCAATGTGGGCCTAGGTGCTGTTCTTGTCCAATGCCAAGATGGTATGGAAAGAGTGGTCGCCTACGCTAGCAGAACGTTGATACGCGCCGAGTCCAACTACTCAACAACGGAGAAGGAGTGTCGGGCCGTCGTTTGGGCAGTTGCGAAGTTCTGCCCGTACTTATATGGCCGCGCCTTCCAAGTCGTAAGCGACCATCACTCTCTTTGTTGGTTGACCAGCACGAAAGACCCATCTGGACGTTTAGCACGATGGAGCTTACGGCTCCAAGAGTACGACATGGCCGTAGTTTATAAGCCCGGAAGGCAACACTTAGACGCCGACTGTTTGTCAAGGTCACTGATTGAATCACCGGCTATAGAGGATGATGATTTCCCAGGTTTTTTAGGAGTTGTTGATGCAGCTATCATTTCTCGGCAACAACAAGATGATCGGGAGCTCAACTCGCTTATAGAATTCTTAAACGGACGAGCCGCCAATGCACCAAGAGTGTTTTCGAAGAACTTATCGTCATTCTGTTTACGGGACGGAATTCTGTACAAAAAGAACTTTTCATCAACAGGTAGAAGCTATCTGCTGGTAGTTCCTGGAGCTCTCCGCAGCGAAATTTTACAAGCCTGCCATGACGAAGCCACTGCGGGCCACCTCGGGTTCGCAAGAACACTGACACGCATCAAAGAAAAATATTACTGGCCAAGAATCACAGCAGAGGTTAAAAATTACGTCCGAACATGCATTGACTGTCAGCGGCGCAAGGTACCACCTGTCAAACCCGCTGGGCTTGACAGGTGGTAAAAACGGCGTTTCAGGCACGGGCACATCCTGTGCCCGTGCCTGAAACGCCGTTTTCTCAAATCGGAATGGATCTGCTGGGCCCATTCCCAACATCGGACAGCGGCAACAAATGGGTTATAGTGGCGACGAACTACCTCACTCGATACGCGGAGACCAAGGCAATCGCGAGTGGCACTGCAGCTGAAGCGGCCCAGTTCTTCATTGAGAACATTGTCCTGAGACATGGTGCTCCAGCTGTCGTCATAACAGACAAAGGGACCGCATTTACAGCCGAGTTTTTGCGCACTGTGCTTACGCTCAGTGGCACAGCGCAAAGGAAGACGACTGCTTACCACCCACAAACGAATGGGCTTACAGAACGACTTAACAGGACAATCGCTGACATGCTTTGCATGTACGTCGACGTGGAACACAAGAATTGGGACCGAATATTGCCGTACATCACATTCACGTATAATACGGCGCGCCAGGAAACAACAAAAATGACGCCGTTCGCGCTAATTCATGGCGGAGAAGTTACGACAATGCTTGACGCCATGCTGCCTTATGATTGCAATGATTCAGAGACAGATGCCGCAGACTTCACTGAGCGCGCCGAGGAAGCAAGGCACCTTGCCCGCGTCAGAATAATGAACCAGCAGCAACTTGACGCCCAACGGTACAACCTTCGCCATCGATTCGTCATTTATCAACCAGGGGATAGAGTCTGGGTTTGGTTTCCTGTACGACGAAGAGGCCTCTCAGAGAAACTCCTACACCGATACTTCGGACCCTACAAGGTTTTGCGCCGTCTTAGCGACGTGACGTACGAAGTCGTGCCCGACGCCTCCTCCTGTTCGAAACGTCGCCAGCATCTGCCTGAGACAGTGCACATGGTCCGCATGAAACTTTACCACTCTCAGTGATGTAAACACCCGCTGGCTGCATCTCTACCTGTTGAGCGTCGGGACGACGCTCACTCTGGCGGGAGGGTAATGCCGCATGCATAGCTGCATTTAGCGACGAGATACCAATGACAACGAAGAACGCGGTTTTGCTCGAGAGGCGCAGCGCAGGGGAGTGAAGAAGACGACAATCTTAGCGGCCTTCTCTGAGAGCGTCTCTATAAGTCCCACTGTCTGTGTTTTTAAATAAACCCCCTGTAATTTATAACCCGCGACAATATTTTCAACTGCGATGAAACTGGACTGATATACAAGCTGCTGCCAGAGAAAACGCTTGCATTTGCTGGTGACCCCTGCCATGGCGGCAAGCACAGCAAGGACGGCTCATTGTCCTTGTTGGTAGCAACATGTCAGGCAGCGAGAAGCTTCCGTTACTAGTTATAGGCAAGTCAAAGGATCTAAGATGTTTAAGGGGGCAGTGACTCTGCCTGTTGTCTATGAAGCTAGCAAAAATACGTGGGTAACGCAGCAGTTATTCGAAGCGTAGGCGTGCAAGCTGGGCAGAAGGTTCGAGCAGCAAAATCGAAGAGTTCTGCTGTTTGTGGATAACTGCGCTGCGCATGGCCACATCAAAGACCTATGGGCTATACAGATTGAATTTCTGCTGCGGAATACCGCACCAATCCTGCAGCCAATCGGCCTAAGCGTGATTCAGAACTTGAAGCATCATTACAAATCACACATGCTCAGCCGCATGGTACTCTGCTCCGACAACAAGAGAAGCTACACTGTTGACAGCAGGTCTGCCGTCGCCATGCTAGCAGAATCGTGGAAGGTGGTTGCGCAAGAGACTCCACAGAACTGTTTTCGCCACGCGGGTGTCAGACTCGACGCCGATGGCCGTCTGACCCCAAGTGGACAGCGTGTGTAACGAACTGCCATCCGCGTATGTTGCCTTCTACGATCTGCGCGCTGCCGGCGTGTCGATTCCAGCATAACCTCTGAGGGCTTCGCCGACACTGACAAAGACCTCGAGCTATGTGCGGAATTGACCGATGACGAAATCATTCGTCATGTTATGGAGGATTCCGACGACTCTGACACCGAGAACGAATAGCCACATCCTACAGAGCCAAAAAGCTCGGAGTTCACGTGAGCACCGATGACGCTGTCATCGGTGTACAGCGGCAACATGACGTTGACTGAATGAAGTTGAGGCAGACATGATCGCGTGCAAGCGGAACGCCGTGCGAAAGAAAATAGGCTACTTCTTGATGCCAAAGTACTGACCTACGAAGTAGCGCCGGCCACGTTGAATTTTTTTTTATATATAAACGGCTCTTTTCAGAGCCATCTAAATGATGCATTGCCTGCATTGCGATGGGGATCTTGTACTCCGGCCGTTACCTTCTCCGCCTGCAAAAAATTCCTACAAAAAAGGTGCGTTTTCATGTGCATTCGTTTTTCTAGTTGTGAAGTGGAGTTCTGCAGCCGTCTCTTACAAACATGCTGACTGCTTTTCTTGCTTCATGCAGGCCTTGAATGATGCAAAGCGGGAGTTGAAGTTCCTTCTCATCTACTTACACGGCGATGACCACCAAGACACGCCGACATTTTGCAGGTGGGTTGGTGTCAAGAGACGCACATTCAGTTGCCGATTTTCTGGACATGCTTGAAAATTCTGACCTGTTACAGGCCCCATAGCCTTCAGTATATTTAAACATCTCAAATTTCAGACTCTAAAGTTTTGTTACATCCGTGTTTCTTTTTTTTTTTTTGTCTCAAGTTATGTTCGAAGAACAGGCCTGAAACAGCATTAATTGAAGACACCACTTCTGCCGTGTCTATCATCACATAAGTACAAACCAGTGCCTTAACGATCTACAACTGTAGCACTGTTCAAAAGTCAGCTTCGCCACAATGAGTGTTGGGAGATAAAGCAGACCGAAAAACTGAAAGAGCCACCATCACAATGCATTGCAGCGACATCTTCGTGGATAAGCAATGGAAATGCACAGAGGCCTCATGGCGGCAGACTGCAAACGTGCCAGTACGACATAATCTCTACATTCCTTTGTGATAATCGTTTTCAGCTAACTGTTCAATAGTGCATATGGGGTAGTGCAGCTGTGAGCGTACTGGATGTGCCACGCTGACCTTCTTGCTGCCTCTTTGTGTAAGACGGCTAAGTGTGTATCACAAATGTGCTGTCTTCATGAACAAAAGCAGTTTGCCATCACCGCACCCGTCTGTGGTCAAAAACATAGTGGGGATAATAAACGCTTTTCACGGCCAATGCCTGCCTGTACAGCAAGCACATAGCAGTGAGGGCTTGTCAGCTTAAGGGGGGAGGCTACCATCGGATACCAACTTTTTTGTTTATTGAGATATCTTAATGAAATTTTCAGGATAGACTTATAGCAAAAGCATTAAAAGAACTACAAAATTTCATCAAGTTATGTTCACTGGTTTTCAAGTTACAGCAGAATATCAGGGTAGTGCACATGGTTCTCTTATTCCAAACCTGGAGAACTTTCAAAAGGTGCTGGAACTGTGAAATTAACTATGATGATTCCCAGATTGATACTCCAGGGGGTAACAGAGCCCTTTTTTTTTAATTTCCTTGCTGAAAAGCTTTAGCAGACCATCAAACTTTGTGTTCGTGATTAGGATATTATCAATCAAATTTTGATTAAATATAATAAATAACACACACAATATATTGAAAAAATGGGCTTGTCACCCCCTCAGAAATTTATTCATGTACATAACAAAAAAAGACTTATGGAAATCCAATGAGTGGTTCCAGAGATATGGCTGGAATAAGCAGCCTCACTAGCCAAAAAAGTCATTTTGAGAAAACGACGTTTGAAAGTTTTGAGCACATAGGCAGTTCTAAAATGAACCTGCAGCGTAACTGGAGGTGTCCTTTGGCACTCTCTTTCTTTGCCGCCTTTCCATCTTCTCTAGGGATCGCTTCTTAGCCTTTTTCAAGCACAGAGAATCTTTCTCGGCTGCCCGTTGAATGGCCAGGTGGCCAGGTGTTAGCCCCACTGATGAAGCTAGCTCTTGGGTGGCCCTGTAGCAGCCAGCATTGTATCTTAGCACTGCATCATGCAGTGCTGTCTCCACAGCAATCAGTGACGCATGCTGCTCTTTGGGCATGAGGGACCACAGCACAGAGTGAAAGGACTCTGATGCATTCTGCGTCTTTGCTCCCAGGCAGCGTTGCAGAAGAGAAGCCTGTGAGAGCCTCTCATAAATGGGTAGAAGTGCATCTGCAACATAGCGTGGCAGCTTGTACGAATGCTTCGGAGGTGGAACACCGGTAATCTTGCTGGCATTGTGACGACACCAGGAGTCTGCACCCTCTGGGCACAAGTCGTGGTGCGGCTCCTCATCCGTTGACGTCACATGGTGGTACGATGCCATCACTGCCCGCCGCATTGTAGCCACATCATCGGAATTGTTTTGTAGGGCCCAGCCATAATAATCTGTCAACTTGTCGATGAGGGCCTTTGTCAGCCTGCCCTTCCCTCCCAAAGCCTTGTCTCTTTTCTGCACAAGGTTGCGAAGTGCAGTCCCCATGCTCTTCTGAACGTGGTTCAGGCATTCCTCTTTTGAAATGGGGACCAGTCCATAAACATTTTCTTGTACAAGGGCAGAGAAGGTGGCACTATCTCCATCAGACACGAGCGTTGTGTAACGGAGGTTGTGCTTCGACAGTGAGCGTGAAAAGAGGATGATAGCTGCCTCAATCTCCATTCTCCCTGATTTAGAGTCGGTGTTTTTCTGGCACACATGATTCTCCAGCCAGCATGCATAGTCTGCATCTCCAGGCTTTGGCCCTACTTGGCAACCAAGGCACTGATTAGACAGAACAACGGCGTCCAAGATAAGGCCCGTATGGTATTCGATAATTGCCCCGACTCCAATATGGAATGTGTGCCCACGCTTGTGCCATGTTCCATCATAACAAACTGTTATATCCCTGGTGAAATATTGATTCATTTCTTTGTAAGTGGCTTTTACAGCAGAAGCAGATTCTGCATAGAAATTTTCTATGCATTGTGTCTGCGGTTCCCTGAATTTCTTCAGGTGCTTCTGAAAGGTCTTGTGATGGAGGCCACGATGGGACACGTTCATCGCTGCCCAAAAGTCGTTGAGAGCTGTTTGTCCCTTGCCTATTTGTTTTGTTGCCATAATGGCTCTTACATTCACATCAAAGGCCTTTGTGTCATCCTGACGAGATGAACTCCATGAGCTTGAAACTACTCCACAATGCAAGCATACTAGCTCAAGCTTTGCAGCAAGTCCAAGTTGGGTGCCTCCTCGTACCTTCATCCCAATCGCGGTGCACTGGTGGCACGGGGTCCGAGATAGCAGGTCGTCTAGGGCATCCATTTGCGCAAGGAAAAATTTTTCGCCTTCACTTGTAGCGGTGGCAGCTTCATGATCGCGCTCCATTGCCTGAAATTTCCGCTCCGTCGCTGGCATAGCGCCAAGTTCTCTTTGCACAGCAGCGCGTTGTTGATCCACCGCCTCTTTCTCCTCGCACGTCAGGAAACTTGTTCGCAAATGCACAGTTAACGACGCGATCGCACTCGAGGCCGATGAAAGAGAAGATGCGGAAGCCACTGTCGATGAGCACGAGACACCAGGCGCGCTTGTAACGACAAATTCTTGCACCGGCGGAGCAGGAGTCCTGTTGCTAGGCGCGTCGATGCGACCACTCTCTTGCGTAGATGAAGCAGAAGCTGCCCCACAGGTACCGTAGGCGCACGTGCGAGCGGAGAGCCTCGCGCGCGGACAAGCTTCATAGCTCGCTTCCTTGCACCGAACGATTGTAGCGTCTTCTTTTTCGTTGGGCGCATCGTGAGCGAACACAACAACGGTCTCGTATAGACGGTTGAAAATCGTCTCGTAAAGACGGTTGAAATCTTTTCGAAGACAGTTGAAACGTGGAGAGTATGCGAACGGCTGCAACGATACACGGAAGCGAGCGGAACACAAAGACGCCGGACGGAGGAGCAGCAGACGAGCGGCCGCATCGGCCGCATTATGCGCAAGAGCGCTACGTCATCGCGCGCAGCAGCCAATGGCAGTCGCGGGCTCCCCCGCGTCCTTGGGGAGCGCGCGCTTCGCCCAATCCCAGCTGCGCGCCTCAGCCGCGGGAAACTTGAAAGCTCTCGCGAGCCCTCCAATCATGAGCGGCTTGCTCCTCTCCTGCGCTGCCGCTGGCGACGCAGGTGGCGGGGAAAGAAAGAGCAAGAATTCACAAACAAAACAACACCAAAATGGCGGCGCTCCGTCGAGCGGTCGAGAAACTGCGATCACGCCAAGTTGGGGTATTTTGAGCGCTCGCGCGCCGCTCGAGGGCCGCCGCGGCATGTTCTAAACTTTATTTCAAATGGTTTCGCGACGAATTAGACGTTGATATTTACAGAAAAGGTAGTTTATGACACATACTGCCCGAATATGTGGTTTGCCAAAAATCGACTTTTTCGCGATTTTTCGGTTTTCAAAGGCCGCGTCCCCCCTTAAAAGGTGATGTGCTGCACGCTACTAGGAACCATGGGTCCACGTGGCAGCAAATGCTGTACACCGGTGAGGATTTTCATGTAGTGGTGCTTCGTTTATCGTGCACACACGCACTTGGGAAAACAGACGGAAAAGCAGGACGAGTCCTGCTTTTCTTCCACAACCTGGGTGTACTGTATTATTGTTTTCAAATGCTCCAACTCCAAACATTTCCAAATGCTTTCTATGGCATCAGTGGCGCTGATCATGAGATCTAAATTTACAAGTGGCAGTTGGCACGTAGTTGAGCAGGACTCGTGGCATGTACCATATGCACAATCAAACCTAATTATAACAAAGTTGCATCTTGCACGAAATAAGTTCGTTATATCTGAAAAGTCGTTATAAAGCTTTATTTTCAACACTATATCTATTGCAAAAATATTTTTAGTTTACTTTGTTATAACCAATATTTCGTTACACCTGGTTTCGTTATATCGAGGTTTGAGTGTATTCACTAAAGCCTGAGAGCGCACCAAGAGGACTGATAAGCGTATTGGGAACCGTTCAAAGTATTGCGGTCTTGGCTGTGGCAGTTTGACTGATTGAGCAGAATAAAGAAAGCATGAGTTCGTTTTTTTTTTTTTTTTTTTTCCCCCCAGACAACAGGATTTTTCAGATCATCTCTCGGTTCCTTGAATGTATAAGCTCTGTTCTTTTCACTACTTCAACCAGTTCGCGTTGCGCTGCACCCCGTTGTTTTTCTAAGTGGTGCAGTGAAGGAGTCCTCGAAATTCTCCATTCATTTCAAGTGGGCACAGAAAAGGTTCACGGTTTGCCTGCACCTTTTCTGATCACGCTCTATGCAAATGGAGGGGCACGAAGCCGCAGCCCAGCAGACTATCCAGCACACGAGTTTAGGCACTCTTTGAGCCCACTTGTGCATATCTGCTATTTATGTACAACATAGGGTGTGTTTAAATCGTGGAAACTGACCTGTGAGCTGCTTGTGACCTTGCAGATTTATTTGAGCAGAGTACACGAAGTCAACAGAGCATATAACAGGCACTCTGTGTTGGTACCATACTGACAGTTTTCAATGTTGTGTGTGTGTAGCGGAACTCGACCTTTTAAATTTTTTATCTTCTTGGCACCATTATGAACCTTTTTAGAGTGGTGGACACGAATCAAATGTACTCATAACAGGTGTAGCATTGAGTGTTAAAGTGTGCGGCACAGGACTTCTTTGTTGTTGCCACTTTCGATGGCATGTAATTGCTTAATTTCATATGCAGGGACGTTCTGTCCTATCAGCCACTGGTGGACTTCATCAATAGACACATGCTGTTCTGGGCGTGTTCCGTCAACTACTCCGAAGGTTACCGAGGTGAGGAGTCTATCTACGGCTTGCCGTACTTGCTCCCCTTAATGCACTTTTTGTTTTAAGGAAACCTGACTCCAAGTTCGGGGTGCGCCTATTATGTAGAGTAAAATTTCAAAAATTTGATTTAGGACTAGTATAGACCGCGGATAATGTATACGTCGCCGAACTCACATATGTCCGCACTACAGCCGCAACAACCTTTTTCATGGGCTGCACCAGCACAAAACATGTTGAACATGCAGTCTTGCGTGCCCGAAAATCGAGGGCATTCAAATTTCTAAAAATTAACATTCGGAGACCCTTCTTGGGAATGAAACAAATGCAAAAAAAAAAGCTACCGAAAGAAAGCGCCATCACAGAAATTCACCAATTACAGTTGATGTCCAATTTTCTGGACCCTCAAAATCGAAAATGTCCAAAAAAGCAAGCAGTCAGGAAAAACCAATGCAGGCAAAAACATGCTATTTAAAATAGGTATTTTTCACTGACGGAAAGGGCTGCAGTAGGAGTACAAGGTTCCCATTGCAAACGAGTGAATGCATAGTTTAGGTGGCTCTGAAAAGAGCCGAAAGAAGGAAAGAAAAAGAATCTGATGTGGCTGGCACTACCACACTCGTAAACACTTAGGCGGAAAAAAAGAAGTCGCTTATTTTCATTTGCACAGGCTTCTACTTGCCCACAATGATGTCTGCCTAAATTTCAGTTACTATCATGCTGTCGCTGTACACCTGTAGCAATGGCAGTGCTCACATCAACTTCGAGCTCGTTGGCTGTGTAGGCGCTGCCTTCTTGATCTCAGTGTCGGAGTTGTCGGAATCCTCCGTAACAGGGTAGCTTTTGCTGTGCAGCCTGTGCTCGAACACCATGCGGCCCAAGCTATGACCAGAGCCTCCGGCTGGCAACAGATCGGCGTGCGCTGGATTGCAGCATTTTTGGTTTCGAGGGTGCAGCAGCCGCAGCGCGGTCAGTTTGAGGGCCCGAAAACAGCAAAAATGGCAACATCGATAGTGACATCAAGTCTCGTTAGTAGAAAAAGTCCGGAACATTGGATGGCGAAAGTTATAAATGTCCGGAATTCGGGACTTTTCAATACATTCACCCCATAGGGAACTTGACAGTGCCACAGATAAGTCCGGGAAATTGGGCATGTGCGGAATTTCAGGCGTAGAGAAATCAGACATCGGCTGTATATTTCAGGCCACTTAGATTATGCGCATTATCACGACCAAAACTTTGTGCATTGAACAGTACCGATCGTTCAATTTCAAGGGCTGGCACCCCATATCCAAGACATTGCAGTCAAATTGCGAACCACAATTTGAGTGTTACCAGCACCACCCAGGCCCCCTTTCGTTCAAGCAGAGCCACCGAAAAGAGTTGCGTTGAATCGATACAAAACTGCTACTTTGATCACCCTCGACCGCCACCTAAATGCACCAACAGTGATTAGGCCTAGGTTACAGTTCGGCATGTGGCCGTCGGAAGTTTGTACAAGATGACATGAAGATGGGGTGTCAAAAAGATTGCACTCAAGCACTGATCCAAGAGCAGCTTGCATGAGATGATGTTTAGGTTTGCGACCAGCAGATAAGCGGGCAACAAAAGTCCATCGAGTCCGCGTAATGCCAGCAAAGGTGAAACCTCGTGTCAAAAAACCAAAACGCTTTAAAAAGACGAAGTACCAAACACAATAATGACGACACTCTACCGCACAGGAAACTCAATTAGCACTGGACGAAGACGCGATCGTGCGTTCCATGCAGAGCGGGCGCGACCGGAGCCTTGCTGGCGCTGGAGCAAAGGTTACTTTGACACCCAGGAAACTGCCCTTCTTCCCCAATCGGCGAGCCCGCAAAGCTGGCGCAGCGCTGTTGAAATATTTCTTGTTTTTTTTTTTCTTCTTTTTTTCTCGCTTCAGTAAAAGGGCGTCGAATTGTAACTGTGCAAATGCAGGGATCACGGCCGAATTCGGGGTGCGACTATTATACATGTTAAGAGGTTTATTGGCGGACACTTTGCGATGATTCACGACAGCGACAGTCAATGCGGGGACCGACTTTCTGCACGAGCTGTTCTTCTTCTTATGAAAAGGGAGACCCACTAGAAGGCGCTGGAGAGGACGACCCACTGTTCAAAGGCTTTACCGCAACTACCCCGGGTACGAAAAGGGAGCCGCCTGGCGACCTAACAGCTGGTTATAATGAGCGGGTCATGGTAGGCCTTGAGGCGCTCCAGGTTAACAATGTCGCGTCCTCGACGGCGCATGTCCGAAGATGGTTCGATGGGTTCAATCAAGTAGTTGACTGGGGAAGTGCGTTTGACGACACGGTAGGGGCCTTCGTATTTGGGCAATAGTTTTGAAGATAGGCCAGTTGCCGTGGTAAAGATCGAGAGCCAGACGAGCGCTCCAGGGAGGAACGGGGCCGCAGTAGTGCTGGCGTCAGCGCGAATGCTTTTTTGCCGCTCTTGATCATGCGCAGTGAAGGTCTTTGCAAGCTCTCGACACTCTTCAGCAAGCTTGGCTGTAGCAGAAATAGGTGCCCACTCAGACGGATCTGGCCTGTACGGAAGTATCGTGTTGATTGTGTGTGACGGGTGCCTTCCTTATAATAAAAAGAAAGGTGAAAAGCCAGTAGTGCTCTGAGCGGCGGTATTATATGCGTAGGTGACGAAGGGTAGAATGGAATCCCAATTTGTGTGATCGGCGGCGACGTACTTGGAGAGCGTGTTGCTGAGCGTACGGTTGAAGCGTTCGGTGAGGCCATTAGTCTGCGGGTGGTAAGCAGCAGTTTTGCGGTGAACAACGTTGCACTCTTTGAGAATGGCTTCAACGACTTCAGACAGGAAGACACGGCCTCGGTCACTGAGCAGTTCCTGGGGTGGGCCGTGTCGCAGAATGAATCGTTGGAGCAGAAAGGAGGCCACATCGCTCGCTGTAGCCGCGGGAAGAGCGGCCGTTTCGGCGTATTGCGTGAGGTGGTCCACAGCTACAATGACCCAGCGGTTACCAGCCGACGTTAGTGGAAGTGGCCCATACAAATCGATGCCAACGCGCCCAAAGGGCCTGGCAGGGCAAGGTAGAGGTTGCAGACCTACCGGCGACAGGTGCGTTGAAGCTTTGCGGCGCTGACAATCTATGCAGGAGCGAACGAATTTCTGCACGTAACGGTACATGCCGCGCCAAAAGTACCGTTGGGGAATACGGTGGTAAGTCTTCGATACCCCGGAGTGCGCACATTGCGGATCAGAATGAAAGAATTCGCATATGTCAGAGCGCAGACTGCGAGGTATGACTAGTAGCCACTGGCGGCCGTCACCGTTGTAATTGCGTCGACGGAGGAGGTCGTCGCGAACGGCGAAATGGTGGGCTTGACGACGCAACGCGCGAGTGGATGGATCAGTCAGCAAGTCTATCAGTGAGGCAATCTATTGATTTTTGCGCTGTTCAGTAGCAATGGTATGAATGCTATTCGAAGAAATGGCAAGGTGAGATGCTGAGTTGTTGGCATTGTCGTCAGGCAAGGGAGAGCGCGACAGGGCGTCGGCGTCAGCATGTTGCCTTCCATTGCCGTGCAGCACGCGGATGTCATAGTCTTGCAGGCGAAGTGCCCACTGGGCGAGACGGCCTGAGGGATCTTTCAATGATGACAACCAGCATAGTGCGTGATGGTCAGTGAGGACATCAAATGGGCGACCATACAAATAAGGTCGGAACTTTGCAAGTGCCCAGACGATTGCCAAACATTCTTTCTCGGTGACTGTGTAATTAGTCTCGGCTTTAGTGAGCTTACGGCTTGCATACGCCACGACATATTCCGGGAACCCTGGTTTGCGCTGCGCAAAGACAGCGCCGAGGCCGACACCACTGGCATCCGTGTGTACCTCTGTAGGGGCCGTAGGGTCGTAGTGGCGGAGTATGGGAGGCGACGTCAACAAACGACGAAGTGTTGTGAAAGCGTCGTCGCACTGTGATGACCACGAATGGAGAGGCCCGTTACTTCCGAGAAGCTTCGTCAGCGGCGATATGATAGTTGCGAAGTTTCGAATGAAGCGCCGAAAGTAGGAACACAGTCCTACGAAACTGCGCAGTTCCTTGACGGATGTCGGCTTGGGGAACTCGGTCACGGCCCGAAGCTTGGCTGGATCAGGGAGAATTCCGTCCTTGGAGACGACGTAGCCGAGTATTGTCAGCTGCCGAGCTGCAAATCGGCACTTCTTTAGGTTCAGTTGCAGACTGGCGTCGCTCAGACGCGTTAAAACATGCCGAAGGCGTTGAAGATGCGTCGAGAAGTCCGGAGCGAAAACGACGACGTCATCGAGGTAGCACAGGCACGTGTGCCATTTCAGGTCGCGCAGAACAGTATCCATCATGCGCTCAAAGGTGGCGGGCGCATTGCACAGCCCAAACGGCAGGACGTTGAATTCGTACAAGCCGTCGGGGGTGACAAAAGCGGTCTTCGGTCGAGCGTCCTCAGCCATAGGTACTTGCCAGTACCCTGAGCGCAAATCGCGGGATGAAAAGAATTCTGCTCCTTGCAGGCTGTCAATCGCGTCATCTACCCGCGGTAGTGGGCACACGTCCTTACGAGTGATCTTGTTGAGGCGTCGGTAGTCCACACAGAACCGTCCTTCTTCATGACAAGAACGACAGGAGATGCCCAGGGGCTGCTAGAGGGGCGAATGACATCGCGGCGAAGCATGTCGTCGACCTGCTCGTTGATTACACGGCGTTCTGTGGGAGATACGCGATATGGACGTTGCCGCAGCGGTGGCTCTGCGCCTGTGTCGATGCGATGCGTAATGGTGGATGTGCGGCCGAGAGAAGGTTGAGCAACATCGAAAGAAGAGTGGAATTGTTCCAACAGGCCCAAAAGCTGGGAACGCTGGCCCGGCTTAAGGTTGTCGGGTATGGAGGGACCGAATACATCATCGGCTGATGAAGCAGATGTCGAAACAGCACTAAGCGTACAGGAACTTGAGCAGTGCATGTCATCGGGTTGATC